GGGGTGGACATGTGTCAAAAGAATAAGAAGGGAGTGAATGCTATAGTGATAGGTGACTCTATTAACATTCCCTCATCTTTTGTTTTTTTTGGTTTGGTGGGAGGGCGACCGTCATCTTTCGGGGGCACATTGAGAATAATGTTTAAGTAAATTTGGGTTATCTAGCCATTTTTAAGCAATGCAAATTACATAATAAATAGGGGAAATCAATGGACTTTTAGATAGAGAGCGTCATGGAGATTTGAGATGATATGGAGAATGAGATACTTTTGGAGAAAGATGAGAGGGAGACTCAATTGTAAAATAGTAGACGAGACTCTGTCTACCATAGCTTTGTTGGATTTGGATTATCATGTCTTTTTTCAAACAATGCAAATCAAATAATAAATAGAGAAAATCAAGGACCTTTTGCATAGAGAAAATCAAGGATATAAGAGATAATATGAAGAGTGAGGTATTTTTGGAGAAAAATAAGAGGGAAACTCATGTATGAAATAGTAGGAGAGATTCATACGATTATATAACATTTAACAAGCCAACTTTGATACAAATATATTTGAGATTAACGATCTTTTATATCTTGAACTACAAATGTTTTTAAATTTCATTTATGTGAAACATTCTTTATTTTAGGAACTTTATTTACACAAAATGTATTTCTTAATGGAAATTTCATAATCTGAAAATAGTTTATGGCCAACTATCGAGTTCCTTATAATGGAAATTTCATTCTTTGAAAATAGTTTATTGCCAATTATCAAATTTCTTAATTTATAATATTTTTCATAATTTGTGATGACTTTTCTTAAAAAGTAAGAAATAAAAAAATATAGTTTCTGACCTTTTTTGGTTATTTAAATAACTATTTATTAATTATGAATTTTATGCTTCTAAAAACAGTGAAATTTTAGAAGATTATTTACTTGTTATTACTTCAAAACTTGAAATTAGAAGTCCATATTACAGAAAGAATGTGCCAATATTCAAGTTTTCATCTATATCAATGTAATTATATTTGATTTATTATACAATATTTTTGTGTATTATTCTATAGTAGAGATTGTCTAAAGTTTTGTGCAATGCATGAGCTCCCTCTAGTATGTATTAATCGAGAAAGGCGTGGCATTATTTTTACAACACGTGTCCCTCTCTCCACTCTCTCAATCTCTCTCTTTGCTTAAAAACTATTGCAATTTATCTGTTATCTCTCTCTTTTTAAAAAATTTGAAAATCAAAGACTTTGAGCTCATCAAGTCTCTCCTACAATCTTTGTCCTTAAGTCTCTCTTGTGATCTCCCTCATTCTCTCGCATTTCTTGTTCCCCTCTCATTTCTCTCTCTCATTATTTCCATCCCTAAATCTCTCTTTCAATGTACCCTTCTGTTTCCTTCCCTGAACTCTCCTTCTTTATCCTTCTCTCTCTCTTCCTTTTACTGCCCCTCTCCCTCTTCATGCTATCTCTTCCTTTCTTTTTCTCTCCACCCAACTCTCCATCTTCTTTGTCATTATATACATGCAAAAGAAAAAAGAGGAAGCTCTCTTTTTCTCTCTCTTTCAGCTCTTCCACTCTCATAAATTTATAAACATTGACGAAATAAATTTTTCCTCCTCATTTATAAGGGAACAAAATATTGTTCTTTTAGAAGTTATAAAAGGTTCTCATATTTTTATTATTGTTTTAATAATTTATGACTGTTTTTTATTAACAAAAAGAATACCCCAAACAAGGAAAAACATAATTCCTTATGAGCTTTCTTACATTTTCTAGAGTAAATACTATAGTATATATGAAAAAAGTTCACCTGGTGTTAAATTTTGGGGGAAATTTAAAAGAAAAATATAAAAAATTAGAGATAAAAAAATAGAAATTTAATTCTCCTCTTTTTCTTACGTTTTATAAACCAAATTAAAAATAAAATAAAAAAGCTCCCAACATATTTATGTTCTTTTACAATTTTCTGTTCGAGCTTTTTGAATATTTTTCAATATATAGAAGCCCTTGCAAATTACAAATAAAAAGCAAAGACTACAAAAATAAAAATGCAACATTGCTCATTTCTTTCTTTTTCTTAAAACAATATTTCTTTGATTTTGGAATTATCTTTTAAGGGATTTAACAAATTGTAATTATAAAAGAACTTACAAGTTGGAAGTAACTATATTAAAACCTTATAGTATTAATTTTTTGGTTATCATATAATGGTCTTTTGTAAAATGAAAAGATATTGTTAAAATAAGCTAAATACGCAAATAAAGTAAATACATTACATTATACTATCATGTTGTTCAAAGTGGAATTTATAAATTTTTTGATTGTGTTAAATAATATATCGCAATAATTTCTCATTATGTTATCTAAAAAGGAATTATACACTTGAATTGTAATTTTTTAGTTTAAAATTTTTTTTAACATAATTGTTCATTCGTATAATATGCAATATGGAATATGATGATTTTAGTTTCGAATTTACCTATATTTTAATATGGATTTCATGTTTCAGTAAATTATAAAAGATAGTACAGGGAGATAATTACGTGTTGGTTTATGATTAAAAGAAAATTAATGTTTGACTAATTTTTTGTTACAAAGTCTAATATTTGTTAGACTATATATAATATATTTTACTATCTTTCTTTACATGACATATGTAATTTTGTTTACATATTATAACTTTAGTATATGTAATTATTTATGACCTATTTTTATAATTTATTTTCCCCAGTATTGTTTTCTATGTTCCATTTCCTTCTGCATCACTTTTGAAATTAATGAAATCAAAAATATACTTTTTAGGCAATGTACAAGATGTAATAATTAAAAACGCAAAATACCATCTCCTTGCTATTGCTTTTGAGATGCTTAAAAACATAAAAAAGCAAAATTTGTATTATTTTTAAGGAGATGTTCAAGACTTAATAATTACAAACACACAAAATAGTAATTAATAATATGTTTCTCTAAATTTAGAGAAATCAAATAGGTATATCATCTACAATTAAAAAACAAGCATTCCATAAAAGTTTAACAAAAAAATATATTAAAATTTTCATTCTCCCTTGCATCCATGTTGCAATATTTTATTTCAACATTAGAAACAGTTTTTAAAGCATAAGAGAAAGGTAAAGAATGAGAAAAAGTTCTCCAACTACATATTTTATAAAGAAAAAGTATTAGTTTTATTTTTATTTTATGGTTCTTTTATTTATAAAAATGACTCCATTTAATCAAGTATGCCAAAGAGAAATCAAATTTTAATTTTTTATTGTAGAAAATTTCTTTATTTTTATTCTAAATAACATAATCTATTTTGATTTTCTAGGGTTTTAAAAAGTATGTATTGTAATTATTAATTTGTTCGTTTTAAAATTATTTGTGACTATGTTTTAAGATTTTATATTAATTATAATTTAATTATAGAATTTGACATATTAAAATTATTCATAACTTAATGTTCCCCTCTCCTCTAGCTTCTATTGCTATTTTCCAAGAGCACTATATCCATCTTATTCTCTTTGTTTTAAAATAACAATTTATTTTTTTCGTTTTTATTTTATTTGTATAGGCAATGTCGGATCCTGGATGTTAGATACAATGGAACATTTATTTTTCCTTTTTTGATGTAGAGAGCAACTTTATTTTTTATTTCAAATAATGCATATGTGTTGTCTTGATTAATTTTTTTGGATTATACAATGTAATTTACTAATTTTTACGTTTTAGCAATAGCGTGTGACTGTCTTTTTTTTATTATCAATGAGATAGATTAATGTGATATTTAAACTTCATTCGGTGAATTATTCTATTTATACTTCGTATTGACTGATTAGGTTTTTATAAACTATTAAGTCGTATTCAATGGGTGGACATATCTCACATGAATAAATAGGGAGCCTATCTCTAGAAAGTATGTTCAGCAAGTGACCAGACGTTTTAAGCACTTTGTAGGGAAATAAATTCCATTTTATTTAGGATATATTATTTTATACTTTCTTTTTTCTTTTTTTTAATTTAAGTGAGTCTCTCCCTTTGCTTCCTTTGTTTTTTATTAACTCTCATATCTCCTAAGTTTCAATTTATCA